GGGAACTTCAGCTCCCGAAAATTGGGCCCGAGTTAGCGGCAGTGGTCAGCGTGATCCTCAAGGCAGGCAGCAAAGAAAAGGATGAGGCGCAAGCCGCGGCAAAAATCATTCACCAAGAGCGCGTTCCGCGCGGTGTGGTCCTGCAACTGCTTACGGACGCGAAAATGCGCGGCCATCCGGCATACACACATCTTTCGCTGGAGGCTGCAACGGCGCGCGCGGCCAAGCTGCCGGTGGATGGCGTCGTGGAGGAGATCATAGCACTGCTGGACCTCGATGATAATTTGGAAGACGTACGGCGGCAGAAAGCAGCCACCCCTGCCCGCGACCAGCTGCCGCTGGAAGATATGCGCCTCGAGTTTGCGCGCATGGCGAAGCCAAATGCAGTTGTAGCAGAACGCAGCAGCGGTGCGCCTGGGGACAGCAAAATGCGCAGCAAGTGGCAGCATTGCAGGCGCTCGCCGTGCAAAATACAACGGGAGAGGGAGCAGATGCAGTGTACACTATACTGGCAACCGCTTGCTCGACCAATTTGAGCCATGGTATTTTGCATTGGCTTTTGCGTTCGTATTTCCATTTGGCACCGCAATGCCCGATCCCGCACAGTGGAGTAGCAAAACGCGGCACCGACGTCCGGCGCACGCACCTCGAATCGAATTGTCTGCCTGGATGCGCTGTATGGCCCGGCGCTGTGAAGCACAGATCAATCGGGACTGGGTGTTCGGCTTTGCCGCGTGGAATTTGTTCTTTCGTTCCAGTGTGAACCTTGCGCGTAACGTCATCGCATACGACCGGCCTGTCTTCGATGAGCGAAGCGGGCTTATCGTGCCTTGACGAGTACGGATATCGAACGCGGTGCGCAGCAATTAGTGCGTGCATTGAGTGGCACGTATACTGACACAGGCGGCGAAACGCGCTCAGTTCGCGGAGACATATCGAAACTGCCGTATGTGAAGGGCTTGTCCCCCGCCGCCGCCCGCAGGCTGCTACAAAACATGCGGCATGTCGGACGCAGTTTGCCTGGCACTCAGGAAGCCCGTCGGCAGATGCGGTTTGAAATCGCTTCTCTTCGAATTCGCTACGGCGTTCCATTGTTTGTGACAATTTCCCCGGACGACGAGGCCCACCACTAACTTTTTGTGCGCTTGTCTCGAACACGCCAATCGGATCCGGTTCGCGCTGCGTCTCCGTGGCAAGAGTGGATGTGCGGGGACCGAGACTTTCCACCCTTGGACGAAGACATCGAGTTTCCCATACATGTGGAACGCGTAACGCGCGCGCTTCCAAGCTGGCACCAACGACGTGCGCTCTTGGCCCGCGACCCATTGGCATCGGTGGACGGCTTCCATGTGCTGCTGCCGTTGTTGCTTGAAGATATTTTCGGTCTGCGCATCTGTCACGCGTGCCCCAACTGCGACACGATGGCGACGCCGTGCATGGATCGCAGTGGAAGTAACTCGCAAACACTCGGCGGCGTCTTCGGGCGTATGGATGCCGCGTATGTGACCATCGACGAAGCCCAAAAATCCACCGGCTCCCTCCACGGGCATACGCAATGTTTTGTACAATGCTTACATCAACACACGCCTTGGCTGGAAATTTTCGAGCTATCTGTGGACCGTTTGGCAGACCTGCGTCGCGAGTACTGTCTGTACCATAGTCACGTCGCGCACAGTGTCTACAGCGGCCAAAGCCAGGCCGCTGCTGAAGCCGCGGTGACAGCAGCAGAAGCCACATGGCCAGAGCGTGCGAAGGACACCTTGATGACTAGTGTACCGCGTTACCAGTGGCGCACGGCGAGCAAGCAGCAAGAC